GCGCACATTCTTCTGGGTGAACATCTCCCAGAGCAGGGAGCCGGGCACGCTGACCAACGTGGGGTGCCGGGTGATGTACACCTGTCCCCCCACGTTGAGCTCAATGATGTCAGGGAAGGGGTTGTCCTCGACGGGGTTGGCACAGCCCGCGTTGTCTGCCAGGGCCATGGTGAGCTCCCTTTGCCTTCCCACCTGCAGCACCAACCAGACATGGGGCAGTGTTAAATCTGCCAGCACGCACAGCCCGCTGCCCCCATCCCAAGGGATCCCAAGCCAGATCACATGTAGAATCAGGGAATCATTTAGATTGAAAAAGCCCTCTACGATCATTGAGTCCAACCGTGGACCCAGCACTGCCAAGCCACCACTAAATATTAAATACTAAATACTTGTTTTGGGTCAGGAAGTAGTGCAGGACTAGATCCTCACCTCTCCTGGAGTCTGGAATTCACCTCTTCACCAAGCCCTGGCTCTTGGAATAAGCAGCATTAACTAATGCCACCTTCCTTTCCATGGCACAGGGGAAGGGACTGTTTCAGCCTGCTCTGACCACACCACCTGCACTCTCCCAGCAGTCATTTTCAGGACTGGGGTTCAGCCTCTTTGCCCAGGAAGGTGCAGGGACACCAGATAGATGTTGAAAACAGGAAAGGCAGGACTGTCACACCCTGGGGCAGAGCAGGGACCCGCCAGCTCTGCATCCTGCCAGGCAGGAAGAGTCCTGAGGCTGCCAGGCAAGGAGCATCACAGCAAAGGGTTCCTGCCCAGCCAGGGGCTGGAGGGCTTTGTGGTGCTCCCACTCAAGGAGCACCCACGGGGCTGCCAGAAAAGCAGTGCTTAGATAGCACCGTGAAGGACAGAGGGACAGGCTCTTCTGTTCTGTCCTTCCTCCTGGAAAGTGCTCAAAGAGACTCGAAGCCAAGCTGAGAGATGGCAGAACCTCTCCAAGGGGCTGGGACCAAGACAAATATCAGGCTACTGGTACAGCCTCGGGCCAGATGCCACATATTTATTTCTATGTTTTCCAAAGGCAAGGTGATTCTTGGATATCTCTTGACACTGCAAATCATCTGCTTACATAAACCTGGCTCAGCTGGCAGACTCTGGATCCAGCCTGGCCAAGCCATGCTCCGTGCAGGGATTTGGAAGAGAAGAGGCTCCCTGTGCTGGCAGGGCTGATCTCCACTTCTGCCCGCTCTCTGTGTGACGTTAGTGCTGCCCTGGCGTTGCTTGGAGGTTGGGAGCCCCCCCGGAACTGGTCCCACATTCAAGAAATAGCACTAAGTCTCACCCTATCCTTGTGTCCTGCTGTGAGGCTTCACAGGAGCAGCTCAAAAGGATCCCAACACAAATTTTGGAGAAACTAAAGGACTAAGATAGAACTCTGCGTGCACTTTTGGGTAGAGCGGCAGAGCTGAGCCAGCGTTTCGTGGCCACACTCCTCCTCCCAGCTCACCGGGATGCTCAGGCAGAATCGGCTTTGAACGAGGAGTGACTTGGACAAGGAACAGGCTGCCGGAAAAGAGGATCAGCGCGGTCCCTCTGGCTCCCAGCTTCCCAATCCCCCTCCGCAGCGGCTTGGGTGCCTTTCCCCGGTGATTCCATGCCCACCGTGCAGCCCAGCGGGCAGGAGCCGCCCGTGCCCGGAGCTCACATCCCTTTGTCACGGGTTGCGAGGGTGCTGCCCACGGTGGGGTGAGGGTTTGGAGGGGCGCAGGGGGAGCTGCCTCAGGCAGGGAGCGGTGGGGACATCAGCGGGGACATCAGCGGGGACAGCCCAGCTCAGCCCCGAGAGCCGGAGCCGCCCGAACGCTCCTCGGTAGCGCCCCAGCCGGGGCCCCCCCGCCCCCGTTACCTCCGCAGGGCGGCCCGGCCGCTCGGCTCCGCTCCAGGCTGTGCCGCCAGTCCCTGGCGCTTCTCCGCCACACGTCCCTCCGTACCAGTCCCACCGCTCCGCCCGCCCGGCCCTGGCCCCGCTGTTTTATAGCCGGGAAGGCGGCGAGCGCCAGCCCCCGCCGGCCCCGGGA